ACCCCCCCCCCCCACCCCTTTATTAAACCAGAGTAACATAAATTTCAACTCTTGAACTCATACACCACCTGGGATCCACATAAAACTGCAGAAACATGTAGAAGAGACCTCAAAGAAAGTGTATTTAAAGTTTTACAGTGATCCTGTATAATATATAGAAGTTATAATTTTTTTCGGCAATAAAAAAAAAATTCAAACCTGGAACGGCGTATCATCACTGAGCATTAATTTCTTGAAATACCACCATTTATTCTAACTTTTAACCTGTCTGTATGACCTCTGACCTTGACCTAATGTTCATGTCCATGCTCTAGGAAACAATGCCACATTATCAATTCTTTAACCCACCGCTAATAATAAAAAAAACCCATCAAGAATGACCTTGACCTTTGACCTTGACCTTTAACATTTGACCTTGACCTTTAACCTTAATTTAAAATTCATACCCAAGCTGCAAAATACAAAATCCGCTTATTTATTATAAGACTCCCCCCCCCCCCCCCAATTAAACTAGAGTAACCTAAATTTCATCTCTTGAACTCATACACCACCTGGGATCCACATAAAACTGCGGAAACATGTAGAAGAGACCTCAAAGAAAGTGTATTTAAAGTTTAACAGTGATCCTGTATATTATATAGAAGTTATAAATTTTCTCGGCAATAAAAAAAAAATTCAATCCTTGAACGACGTATTAGCAACGTAGAATATTTTTTTTTCCAAACTCACGCCAAATTCCGATTGACTTGTAATATTCAGGAACATGTAGAACAGACCACAGCAATATATTCTGTGGAGTTTCACGGCCAGAGTTTATGGGATACAGAAATTATGAATTTTTACGGCATAAATATCTCATTTTTCGTTATGGAAATTTCCCGTGCAAATGATAAAACATGTCATATAAAGCTTTTGTCGTCCATTTTTTTTTTATGTTTAAGTTGAACTAAATTCTACTAATATGATATGATATTTTAATATCGAACATCTTTCATTTTGCTTTCCTGGGGAGTAAATGCGATGTTTGTTTACATTTGAGCAATACACAGAAATACACGCAAATAGCGGTTCTCGATATAAAAAGTATAATGTACCCTTACCATGCTGTGTTTCCCATTCAGAAATAAATGTTTACCATTGAATAAATCATTTAAACTTGAAAGATAATTGTTCACACATAAATTCACGGTGATTTCGCTGTGATTCATGTAAATTCGGAATGTGTGTCAAATATCGAACCCGACTTTCGCAGTTTTTTATTCTCATGTAAACAAACCGGCCAGCCTCTCCAGCTCTTTTTGTAGACATGAATTAATCAACATTTCCTGATATATATAACACCGAAAGCAAGTGCAGAATATTTTTTATTAAACAACTTCTCATTATACACCAATCAGGTAAAGCAGAAATCTTTTCTGTCCGCGCAATCTTGTGCCACAACTGGTTAATTATGAAGGTCTTCCGTCTTCAGCGGAAGACCTTCTTGTTATGTTCCCCAAACGAAGTTGGGGAACATATTGTTTTTACTCTGTTTCTTATTATTATTATTCTTATTATTATTATTATTATTTTTCTTCCTGGGAAAATCTTTTCCGCGAGTGATCTTGTAAACTATACATCTGACTTAGGTGAAACCTTTTTAGGGTAAGTAGGCATGTTATGTAGATTTGCGGAATCAAGGTCATTTTGCGCGCACGTGCTTGCAAGAGCGCGCACGTGCAAAACTTAAAATGACCAATATATAATGGATATAACCGTAACTTTTCTATTATGTGACGAAATGTTTTGAAACTTATAATGCAAAGATATATTAGTAGTATGCACAAGATGACATGGTCAAAATAGCAAGATCGCACGCGCATGCACGTGCACTTCGCTTTGATTGGCTGAAACTAAAGTCTCAATATCTTTTTTGTTTTTTGATAAAATCATTTGAAATTTTGAACATAGTCATACATTAGGGAGATCTATAGCCTGTAATTTAAGATTTATCAAGAAAGCATGTGCATGCACATGTGCTTGCAAGAGCTCGCACGTGCAACACGAGAAATGTCCAATATAATTGATACAGACGTAACTATTTAAATTATTGATGAAATGCTTTGAAATTCATATTATAAGTATGTATTAGAAGGATAGACAAAATGACATGGTCAAAAAAGTAAGATCTCACGCGCATGCGCGTGCGCTTCGCTTTGATTGGCTGAAACTAAAGTCTCAATATCTTTCTTGTTTCTTGTCATAATCCTTTGAAAATTTGAACATAGACCTACATTATGAAGATCTACAGCGTGATGTATAAGAATTTTCATGAAAGCATGCGCATGCCCACGTGCTGCAATCTGATTGGCTGAAACTTTAAATGGCTATATCTCCTTTGTTTTTTGACGAAATGCTTTGAAATTGAAAACATATTCATGCATTACGATATACTACATTATGATGTAGAAAAAAAATCATGAAATCACGCGCATGCACATGTGCTGCAATCTGATTGGCTTAAACTTGAAATGGCTATAACTCCCTTGTTTTTCAACCAAACAGGATGGGATTAAGAATATAGATAAATATAAGGGACTCCTACAAAAAGGTATGGTCATCATGCACGTGCACGCACGTGCGTGCATTTGGAACGAGTGAAATGAAAAATACTTATGAAAGAATGATTTTTAATACTTTTGGACTGAATGCTTTAATATATTGTATATTAAAATATGAAGATAGTGTAGACAAGATGATATGATCATAACGCACATGCATTCACCTGCGCACGGGTGCAATGCTAAAATTTGAATATAATTGGTATCCTTCTGAGAAAACGTTGTTAAAGTCAAAAATGCACAGAGTTTTTCTTATTTAATGAAGCTTACAGGGAATATGGCAACAAAAAGGAGTTGGGGAGCGTTTGGGGAACATCTGTAACGGTTCCCGTTACAATTAGCACTAGTTATTATTATTATTCTTTTTTTTTCTTCTTTGTTCTCCGGTACTTTTTTGTCCGCGAGTGTTCTCAGAAACTGTTCACCCAATTGAGCTAAAACCTTTTTAGGGTTAATAGGTGTGTAGTGTAGGTGTGCAACACGAAGGTTATTTTGCGCGCATACGCATGCACGTGCGTGCGCGTGAAATGAGTGAATTGACTGATATACTTAATATAGCTATTACATTTACATTTTTTGATGAAATGATTTGAAACTCATTATATAAAGATATATTAATACTGTAGATAATGTGACACTGTCAAATTAGCACGAACTCACGCGCATGCACGTGCGCTTCGCTCTGATTGGCTGAAACAAAAAGCTCAATATCTTTTCTGTTTTTTGACGAAATGCTATGAAATTTAAAACATAGGCATACTTTAGGATGTACTACAATATGATATATAACAATTGTCATGTAAGCACGCGCATGCACGTGCACTGCAATCTGATTGGCTTAAACTTTAAGTGGCTATAACTCCTTTGTTTTTCAACCAAACAGTATGGGATTTAGAACATAGACAGACATAATGGACTCCTACAAGGCGGTGAAGTCGTCATGCACATGCGTGCACTTGTGCTTTGCTGTGATTGGCTGAAACAAAAATCGCAATATCTTTTTTTAATTTTTGACGAAATGCGTTGAAATTTTACACATAGTCATGCATTAGGATGTCCTACAATATGATATATAACAGTTGTCGTGAAAACATGCGCATGCACGTGCGCTGCAATCTGATTGGCTTAAACTTTAAATGGCTATTACTCCCTTGTTTTTCAACCAAACAGGATGGGATTTAGAACATAGACAGTCATAATAGACTCCAACAAGATGGTATGGTCGTCATGCACGTGCGTGCACGTGTTCTTCACTCTGATTGGCTGAAACAAAAATCTCAATATCTTTTCCGTTCTTTGACGAAATGCTACGAAATTTAAAACATAAGCATACAATAGGATGTCCTACAATATGATATATAACAATTGTCATTAAATCACACGCATGCACGTGCGCTGAAATCTGATTGGCTTAAACTTTAAATGGTTATAACTCCCTTGGTTTTCAACGAAATAGGATGGTATTTAGAATATTGATAGACATAATGGACCCCTACAAGAAGGTATGGTCATCATGCACATGCTTGTAACGTGAAATGAGTAATTTAAAAATATGCTTGAATAAGTGTATTTTTTAATACTTCTGGATTTAATGCTTTGATATTAAGTCTATTTGAATATATATACATAGTGTAGAAAAGATGATATGATCATTACCCACATGCATTCACATGAGCTCGCATGTAATGCTAAAATTTAAATATATTTCATAGTCTTCTGGGAAAACATTGTTTAAGTCTAAATTGCACAAAGTATGTCTTATTTGATAGAGTTTAAGGAAATATGGCACCAAAAGGGAGTTGGGGAGCGTTTGGGGAACATCTGTAACGGTCCCCGTTACAATTAGCCCTAGTTATATAAGCAGTACTTGATCATACATTGTGTGGAATGTGCCATAATCTGACCAGATACAATTACACTCAGCTCAGAATCCTGTCTCAGGTTCTATTTCATCAGTTATCTGGTTTCCTAAGGTTGAGGAGTGCTGCTCTCTGTACAAATTGAAGGGTGGCACATTGGTGCAGAACCTTGGGCTCTACAGCACTCTTCTCTGCACCAGTTGTGGGGTGGCAGATTGGTGCAGATCTCAGGGTCTTAAACTGTTAACCTGTTCTGTCTTTATTCTTCCTCCTGCTAATGATCAATTGCACGTCATGTTTCTTCAGTGCTAACTTCCTAACACTTTTTAAATATAAGAGGTTTTTCAAGTCTATCTTCATGAAATAAAAGGATTGAAGCATTTTCATTCATCTTTGACTCTAAGTTGATGAGACAATCTAGGTTACATGGTTTTCATCAATAGGAAATGGAGTTCAGTTTTTCATAAGGAATCTGCCAATAACAGCTACCTCTAAAGATGTACTTTACCAACACTGACCTAGATGTTTTATTACTTTGTAGGGAAGAAATCAAGAATCACAGTGTATCATGGAGGACTTCGTACAATTTCCAATGCAAAGTAACAGCCAATGCCAGCACTGGGTTTCTGGACCCCTGTGTGTGCCGAGTCTCTGTGCGGATGGTATGTAATTGAAAGAATTCAGACAATACTGTTTACAAGTACAAGCATCAGGGGAAAGGCTTTTGTCAGTCCTTATCTATAAAACTTCACAAGATAATAGCACCCAGCTGTAATCAGATACAGAGAAATTATTACAAGTGTTGGGGAGACAGATACTTTTAGATGCTATACATGTAGAACACATAGAAAGTACATGATTGTATATTAAGAATTTTACAACTCTGAAAACTTAAAACAGGACGATTTCAAACACATTTAAAGAAAAAAATTAATAGGCATTTCTTAGTTTAGAATTTCAAATTTATTTTTACGTTTTAGTGTTGAAAGCATGATTTTAAATTGATAAATTTTACCCGAATATAAATGCGTTGTAGTTAGAAATTGGAAATTCCACCAGAAGCAATACTAAGGCAACATAATGACTTTGAGATATTCATTACAGGATCAGAAGGGAGGGAAGGCGTACCAGAAGCTGGGCTTTGTGGACATTAATCTGTCCGAGTTTGCTGGATCTGGACACCAGACCAGGAAATTCCTGTTAGAAGGGTATGACTCCAAGCATCGGCAAGACAACTCAACCATTGAACTCACTTTGGAGATGACCTTGATCTCTGGTGACCCAGTTTTTAAAGTGTAAGCAATAATGTTTTTGTAAACAATACACATAATTTTTTTCTTTGATTTTTGGTTAAACACTCCCAATAAATAAAAATAATACCAGGTACAATGTTTACCTGGTCCTCCTAATAAGCTAACATTAATGTCATGACACTGTGTGTTGTAACTTGTTTTTCAATACAGGCTATATTAGGGTCTAGGGAATCATTTCACACTATTAAGAGCATTCCTGTGTTCTCTACCAGACTTGCGTACTTGTTCACATTGTGTAATATGAAGACTCTAAATATCACTTTAGGGTTTGATAACATAGGTATAAAAACTAGAGAATCTTAATATCAAATGTTGAAGGGATTTCACAGAGCAAACATTTAATCCTTCAGTATTTGATTAAATTACATAACTTTCCTCAATTAGATGTGTTAGTTATTTTTTCTCCTAGATTAAATCAATTCCTTAGAACTTTCTATACAGCTTTGTATTCTTTAAGTGATTTATCAATCACCCTGTGGTTTACCTAAGGTAACTGAACAAAAAGTAAATAAAATTAATCAATATTAAAGGAAACCACGGTCTAGGACTTAAACCTCCCTTAAAGTGTCTCTGTTGAGGGTTTTCTATGAAATATCCTGTCAATGGCCACACATTGACTCATAGCAAAGATAAAAATTAAAAAAAAAAAAACATACAGTGGAACTTTGGTATCTTGAACACTGAATTATCTGAAAAAAACATGGAAATGTTAAAGTAATTTTGAAGTCCAAACCACTTATTCTTTAATTATTTTACCGTACTCATGATATCTCAAATCCCTGGATATCTTCAAATTTGAGATAACGAGGTTTGGCTGTATCATAGTGTATGTACAAAATATTAATAAAGATGGTGAGGAGAGTGTTGATGGAACAGATTTTTTTTCAGCCCACGTCACACCACTAAGTGGTATGATCACAGTACCAGCCAGCTGTCCGTATAGAGGAGTGTAGTGAGGGCAGCCTGGCCTCTAACAGTGCCAGTAGTGGGTGTGGAAGTCTACCTCGCAAGGACCTCCCAAATATCATAACAGGTACGGTAGTCGTAAAATAGTCCAAATATCATAACCTGTACGTTAGTCGTAAGGACCGTCCAAATATTATAACAGGTACAGTGGTAGAAAAGGCTGTCCAAATATCATAACAGGTACGGTAGTCATAAAACAGTCCAAATATCATAACTGGTACAGTAAAAACCATCCAAATATCATAACAGGTATGGTACAAGCCGTCCAAGTATCATAGCAGGTACAGTACTCTACCTTGCAAGGACTGTCCCAATATCATGACAGGTAAACGTCCAAATATCATAATAGGTCAGTAGTCATAAGGACTGTCCAAATATCCGTATGGTAAGGACCGTCTAAATATTATAACAATTATTGTAGTCATAATGAACATCCAAATATCATAACAGGTAAGGTAAGGACCGTCCAAGTATCATAACAGGTAACAGGTCAGGATGTTAGTCAAACTCACAAAAATATTTTGGAAGTACCGGTAAATAGTTATAATGAATCAGATAATCACCAAATCATGATTAGTATTGAATCCAAAGCCTAGATTCAGGCTTCAGTATTTATCTGGGATAAAGAACTGTTTGTTTATGATAGACTAGCCTTATTATTTTAAAAAACTTGCTCAACTGAAACCAAAGTTTTTCTTGAATTTTCTTTAAAAATCCCTACATGATTGTACATTATCCTTTCAGATTCTGCTGAGGTTGATTTAAACCCCCAGAATCCCGACAGTAGGGATTGAAAAATCATCAGTAGGAACGACAGCTACACCAGTCAGCACTCACGGGGTCTACAGGGTACGCCTCGCTCGGTCACAGTCGCCAGTCTAGTGTAGGCACGAAAGAACCCTACGCTACTCACACTAGGTAAACAAACAACTCAGACATTGATTTACCAGAAGGAATTCCCATACAGATTCTTGTGATGTAAAAAAAAAAATTCAAAAAGTTTAAAACGCAAATTTCCTTTTGACAATTTGAAAGTTTAAT